ATCTCTATCAGTTCTCAATCGAACTGTTTGATTTTTAGTTTAACATAATATAATAGAAACCTTGCCGAGTTGCCGTTTGCTTCCCTCATGAAGCCTTTAAAGAAAAATTGGTGAATTCAAAACTATAAATATGCCTTGTTCCAAAACACTTTAAAAACACTTTAATATCTACGATATTGTAATCATACATAATATGACTACTCTATAACCTATATACAAAACCATTGTTCACAATTAACACTTTTTTAAGTGTGAATAAATTTTAGTTAATTATCACTGCAGCATCGACCATATAGGCACTACAATACTACATATAGACTAATAAATTAAAGAAAAAATTAAAAATTAAAATTGTTCGTTCTCGAGTCACTGACAAATTAGAAATGGCCTTGCTCGTCGGTTAATCGATCTTTGTATTCAAATCAAGTCAATAGCCGAGAGTAAAGCGTACTTACCTATATACCAAGTAAGTATCATACGGCTGCACATTATACCCAGCACTTATAAGGTGACTGCCGAGGACAAACAAGCGCGACTTGGTGCATCGCTGCAGCTGCAATTTTTGCACAGATATACACACTCACAATACACAAGCGTAATAATATGATTTAAGCGTACTGTTAGTAGAGGTTAGAGCGTTATATTAATGTTTTCTTAATCGACAATACTAGCGATCGTCATCATACGACTGTAAATTATATGTACCCATGTATAATAGGCTTAGATGGCCTTCATGGCGCACTGGTATGGGTACGAATAAGGTAATAATTTAGGTAAATAAACCTAAATGCCTAAAATATGGAACACACTGTTTTTCCCGTTTTCCGAGGTTTACCCAGTAAATCGTAATAAATTGGTTTATTTTGTTATCTGTATAATATTATATAAATGGGAATAATTCGTTACCACCAAAATTGTACATTTCCTTTTCAGCTGTGTATAAGCTACTATTGAACAGCGCACTCACGCATGCCACAAATTAATATTTAAATTTGGTGACACGTAAAAAAAAAAAATGTTAAGCTATTAATATTATTTGACTTTTAAGCTCAATATATTTGATTTCAATTAAGAAAATAGAATTAATTATACTGCGGTGTAGGTTTAATACTGGTTACGTTTAAAAAGTGTACCTATAGATATTATAAGTACCACACTACCTACCATATTCAGGGGATTCATAATTTAATTTGATACACACATCGCAAGCCCGGGCATAAACGAATTAAAGCTAAGTTAATTTTAACTTTTGAACTCGACTTGACATTTAAAATTTAATTTTCATTAACTTAGAGTTTACCTAAACTGATTTTTATTGATATAAACTTAAAAAATAACGAGTTACTAATAGTGGAATAAAATTTACCTTAATTTATAAATAATTAAATAATAAATATAATACAACTAATATTAATGATGTATTAACGCATATTGAATGAACATTTACTTGGTGAGACAAAAGTATAAATACTATACTTACGTGGTATAGTGGGTGACATCCTCGAGTACGATTATACACGACAAGTATGTACAATTCATGTTTTGTCAGTGTCCGTTCAAGGTCCGATGGCCACATCACGCGAAACAATAATCACCACTCACGACGATTTATTATTAGATATGATATTATAAATTATAATATAATATATGACTGCGCTGCAGTTGGACGCGGTTATTAATAAAATATTATATTTCTTATACATATTTATGCAAGCGTATTTCCTATACGCCGTACGCGATACGCTTAGTTTCAACAATAACGATAACCAAAATAATAATAATAATAATAACTATTATTATTATTAATTAACAATATATATGCATAGACGTCGACGTCGGACACCCACAGCTGCAAAATTCTGCCGCCGACTCTGAAGGTAAGTATATTTTAATTTATAATATTATTTACGTACCTGCCTATACTATACGGAGACGGCTGAATCGCCTCGGTGGTCTTGGAAAATATTTCTGCGCACACTTCGAATCCGACCATCGCATGTCGATGTTTAATAATATTGTATATTAAGTGTAATATTATTATTAAATAATATGTATATATATACATATATACACATATATAGGTGCCGTGTTATATATCTAATGCGTATAAATAACAACACCGATGATTAACGCTGATTTTTTGAATCGTTTTTTTTCTTTTTAAAATACTAATATAACAAATCGGGTTAATATATTTAGGACAAATAGTAAATAATATATAATAATATATATATAGCAAATTTTGAAGTAGAATTCAATTTACACGTAATTATAATAATAATAATAATAATATGTAGTCTACTAAATAGCAAAAAACAAAAAAAATTACACTAACTTACAAATAAATCAAAATTTACAAGGTACAATTATATAGGTATAATAATAATAAAAAATTATTATCCGTTTCGTTTTTTAAACATTAGTACATAAAATTGACGCGAACCGACTATATAATCACATTTTTCGGTTTTTCATAATGCCCAATATAATATTATTATTAATATTATGCGTAAATATTGTAATACATTTTATAATATTATAATTTATTACGCTCAAATAATATTAAATTATTAGTATACTTAGGTCAATACAGATGACTGTATAGTAATATTGAAGACAACATTTCGGTCGCGTAATTTTGTTCATTAATATACAATGTCATAATAAATTACAAATTTTTTTTTGCTTTTTATACTTCCATAATCTATAATATCAATATATACAGTAAAATGATTTTTTTCCTGAAATCTATCTTAAAAAGAAAAACTTGAGTGCAATCGTTGTTTGTATATTATATTTTGCTTACCTATATAAAATATAACGGCGGCACATTAAAAATACCTATTATATATTTATATCATATATACGTACTATACGCGACAATTTAAGCGTTTGTAAAGAGGGGAGGGGGAGGTCGCATTAAAAACAATAATAAAATAGATTTTGGCACCAATAAATAATGTTTAAACACTAAAGTCGAACCGAACAAAAAAATAATAATAATGATGTCAATAATTATAATAATAATAATAATAAATATAATAATAATAATAATGAAACTAATACAACAAAATAATAGTCATACATAACCAGAACACAAAATAACGTAAAAAAAAAAACAATAGAAAGAAAAATTACACGTTTATTTCGTTGATATATTATACAGTTAAAACATAAATCGCGATGTACAATCAATTAATTAGACATTAGTCTGTTGATTATAATTATTATTTGTAACGAAAAATGTTTGTATATTACACAAAGGATTGCAAATTTGCAATATAATACTGTAGCTATAATGTCAAAAGAAAAAACTCAACAAAACGAAAGCCGCGATAAACCGTTTTTTCGGGGAGCTATTGTATTATTGTTACTGTTTCGTCTTAAATGATTCATTAATATTGTCGTACATCAATAATTTCTCCAATGATTGTATACATATAATATACATATACATATATAGGTATTCGTGTGTGTGAAAAACGTTTTATAATATCAATACTATAGGGGAAAGATTGCGAAATCGTAAAAACCGACTACTTTATTCTATCGACTGCAGTTTAAATTAGACATAATAATATAGTATTATGCATACGACTTATAAACGATACCTATGAGTACATAATATTTTAATGGATTTAATTATAATTTAGTAATTATATATTACATATTTACACTTCACATTTATTATATAAATATTAGAAAAAAAATTAAGAAAACGCTAAGACTCGCTTAAAGACGGAGATCGATAGTTTGTTTTTATCTAAAAAAAAAAAAAATAATAATTATAATAAATATATCAAAACCACTGGTTATGTTTCGAGAAACGATCTGTATAGTTTTATGTATATTATCATAATAATCATTACATTATTATCATTACGTTTATTATTATTTAAGTATTAGAGGCTAAGTAAAAAAAAAATGAAGGAAAAAAAAGAAACGATAACACTTGTTTAAATAAAATACCTACGACGATGCTATAATTATATTATAACAATATCATCGCATCACACTCGAACGCGTCCAACTCGGGGACTATTATTATTATATTCTACATCATTATATTGCGGCATATACACGTTTCGTTAAATACACATATACATAATATCTATAATATAGTAAAAACACATTGCGTTATGTATTGTATATTTAGCCTAATAGTATAATCTCATATATTTTTATATAATATATAAACGTAGTAACTTAAATTGTATCTTATGTATGTACAAGTTTAGACAACATATGATTTTTATAACATAGTAATATTATAAAATGTCGACACTCTGGAGCCGATTTATGTTTTTACACACACCGAAATATGCTAAGATAGTACACAGTATTAATATTGTCAACCGGCTGCGATTAAAATATGTGTACCTATACGTATACCACGTTTACCCCACCGTTTTGGAATGTCATACCTATAATTATATTGTTATTGTTTTCGAGAGATGATTTGTATTTTTCCGGTCGATCTACGGCGGTTGATTATTACTATGATATTGAGCGAGATTCGGGATAAGAGCTCGTCCGGTTTATGGAAGAACTATGAGTATAATAACATGAAATACGAATAGCCGCGGAGTACGGGTTTTATTGTAGTAAACGGACTCACGGAGTGCAGAGACTTGTCCGTGGGAACGGCGACGAGAGGGAAGCCATTCCCGCGATCGCTTTGATAATATACCGTGGCGAAATCTGTTCACGAAACTCACATCGATCGACTTTATTGGTGTGCCCGACCGCTGTAATATTGTACAGGAAGATCATTCTGGCCAACCGCAAATATATGTATAATAACTAATAAGACATATTATTTGTCTGCAGGGGACGAACATTGAAGGAAAACAAAATACATTTGAAAATACCAAAAAGGGGTCGATCTCTTCTCCGCGAATGTGTTACATCATTAGATATTTATGTTATGAGAAATAGGTCAAGACTTACGTCGCACTCGGACTTACGCCCAAAGTGCTCAGACGGATTGCATCGGGTAATGATGGTGGAGGTGGTGCGGTGGCGGGGGCAGCGGCTGCAGTTGATGATGTATGTGGTGCATGTGCATCGGTGGATGGGCGGCGGCTGCGGCGGCTCCAGAGTAGTGCGACGGTCACTGATGGTGTTTGATGGGCCCGTTGCCGTGGTGGCCGCCGATCACCTGCATGTGATGCTGGTGATTGGCGTTGGCGCTGCCGTTGCTGTTGTTGTTGTTGTTGGACTGCTGCTGTTGCTGTTGTTGCTGCTGCTGTTGCTGTTGCACGGCCTGCCGCTGGCTGTTCTTCTTGTTCTTCATGCGCCTGTTCTGGAACCATATCTTCACCTGGCGTTCGGACAGCGCCAGGTTCCGGGCCAGCTCCCAGCGCTTCTGCTTGGACACGTAAGCGTTGAACAGAAACTCCTTCTCCAGCTCCAGCGTTTGGAACTTCGAGTAAGGTTTTCTCTTCTTGCGCACGGTCACCTGACCCGTCCATTCCAGCGGGTTGGACCCGACGCCCATACCGATGCTCGACAACGAACCTGCGAGGACACAAAACGAACGAAGTTAATAAAAAAATACTTGATATTGGGCTCGTGAATTTTTTATAAAAAATAACTGAATATATGCGACGATGGCACATTTTGAATTGGTTTATTATTACATTTATTGAACTTCTAGTCTCTTTTGTATGTACCTTTATAATGTTTAAATCTGCAGTGTCTGCAGCAGTCGGGAAGGTTTTTTTAAAAATATTAATCGAATCACAATACAAGTAATATGCATTACAAAGTTTCTTAGAAATATAAAAACCTACAAATTAGTTTGGAATTATAACTTTTAAGACGGTCTGCAGTAATACTGCGAAATAGTTATTCGAGGCGTCGGATACGTTGAATAATTCGATATGAATTTTCCCTTTCAAAAATAGATTATCTTCTTGATATTATTCGGAATTTTGGCTGTTGTATAATAATATAGGTATATCTATAAATCATATAAAATCAACTTTTTTTTTTTAATACAAGTTAGTTATAGGTGTTACTTTATTAAACTGACATATAATAAGTATAGTTTTATTAAAGCGAGTTATTTGATGTTAAGAGTAATTCAAATTATATTTAAACGCTAATTAAAAAGATACGGGTTACCATATACGAGTATATTTCTGATTTATGTAGCCCTCCATATTTTTCTGTTTCATACTTTCTTTAGCTTTAAATGTTTTGAAAAAAAACATTGCAAAAAATATTATTCCGTAAAAATGCCATTCCTTTATTATGTTATTCTTTTAAATTATAATTCCCAAATAGATTTATATTATAAAAGGTTATTTTTCTTGAAATCACAGTTCCGTTTGGATATTTTCCCGATTATATTGCTCACCCTAAATATAATTTATAGCTATAATATACAATTCCGTATAATTTCATTGCAGCACACGTTTAGGGTTTCGTGTTAAGATTATATTGTAAGTTGCAAAGCAAGATCGAAAGTAAATCGATTTTGACCCAAAACGATCGTCGATCACGGGTTATCATTTTTATTTGTATTACTATCATTATTATCATTATTAATCTTCAGCGACCCGGTCGCCACATAAATTTATTTATTATTATTATTATTTTTTTTTTTCGTAAACGGATTGAAAAGCATTTTTATTTTTACAATGATACGACGCATTAAACACGTCACGGTCCATTTGTACGTGTATTATATAGAGTGATATGTTTACGGCCGGTTCGGCGCCGTTTGGTCAGATCTCGATCAAATACCTATTATGTACAATATCGGCGATCGGCGCGGTCAAATGGCTATTCGTATAATATCGTATACACAGGTATAAACCGTGTCCGTATAGGTATACAGGCCGTGTGACTTGAACATCGGTCATTTGAATATTATTCTTATTTAAACCGTCAAATCGTTCGGTGTAAAAGCGTTTTACCTACGTCGTATATGTGTCGTCGATCAACGCGTGCACGGGTATGAATACACGACGAATGCGATGCAGCGGGTGATCGTCGCACGGTATAATGTGGGCCACATAAAATACCTCATGTCCTCATATCTATATATATATACCTTTAAACCATACATACATACATACATTGTGTAGGCATGGGTGAACGCTGCAGGTATATATTTTATGCGGTATGGGCGGGAGTGTTCCCTCGTCGCGCAATTTATGGGTAGTACCGACGATTTAGTCGGAAATCTGCAATTTTTCGGGGTATTTATACAATACCTATATGTTTGTGTCTCGTCTGCGGGTGTAACATCCCTCGCGCGGTTGGGGTGAAATTTGCGCACAACCGCCCCTGCTACTCGCGCAGTATACCGCGGCCGGTATCCGATAAAATATTTGTATTTATATAAATTACGAAACGCGTTATTTTATAATATATATGAGTAGATCGTCGATGTCGGCATTTTAATGAATTTCGAAACGGGCGTTCGTTTCGTCTCTTCGATTTACAAGATATTATATAATATGTAGCCTACACCTCTAATATTATAATAATATTATATTATGACGTGTACAATATCTGACCGCCGCACATAGCGCACTTGAAGGGTTGATTTTTGTTCGGTTTCGTATGGTGCGACGGCGGTTGGAATTCGTCCGACAAAATGTACCCAAGTCGTTACCGTAACCGCCCTATATTAGCTTCCGAATCGAAATCAGCTACGAGGTGTGCCGTGTCACACAAAGTATAAACCCACACACTCGAACACGCACACACATAATATAGATATTATTATAATGTATTAATGAGGGACAAAATAGTAGACGGTCGAACGGGCGCAGCAGCTGCCGTCAGGGGGCACTAGTTGGGCGCACACTCCGGGGCCGCCGAGAGTCGACAACTTGGAAAATTAAAAAATGGTTTTTTTTTTTGGTCGTGCGCGACACATAACAGTAATAATAATAATAATAATAATGTATGTATGTATATAGAACATGTAGTATTATAGTAGTGTGTAGGAGACTCGCGCGCGTACCTATATATATATATATACACATAAAATATTACACAAAACGCGCCCGGCGACGGGGGCAGACGGGTCGCGCGCTTAGAAACTAATAATAATAAGCAGATGTTATATTGAAGCATAAACGGAATTTAAATTTTTCTACGCTCGCACACGCGCTCACGTAAATATTTTTTGTTTGTGTGTGTATGTGCGCGCACACGCGTTATGGTTATAATATTATGTTCCTCCGGAATGGCACTCGAAGTGTCGTCGGCGTACACGTATATATTTAGTAATAAGTAATAACAATCTCGTGTGTATGTACGGAACCGACAGTGGTCGTCAACATTTGCGTAGTAGCAATAACATGCAGTGGCTACATTATTATAATATGTCGCCTATTTGCAGCCAATAATATTATGTGTTTGTACTGCAGCAGCACTGATATCAGGGCTTAAACAGTAGCGAGAAATAACTGCGGGGAGCACTATAATAATATGATCTCCGTATAGTATTTACAGCTGCATATATTTCGTGTCGTGCAAGTCCTATTAGGTATATAAATTAAGGATTGTGTAGCGATAACTGCAGGATTGAAAATAAGGAACGTTAGTAAAAATTCATAAAGCGGTAGTTATTAAAATTAGTAGGTAGAGAAATAAAAACTAAAAATAATCAACAATGGTTTTAAAAGCACAGTGAAGCTGTCGTTGAAAGATTATAGTATCTGCTGGTATTGTCACAATGCCATATTCTGTTTCTGCAAACTTAACATTTTCGACAGAATAGAATGTATTTCTCGGTAAGACAGTGAAGAAGATTTTTCGAAAAGAAAGAAATGTTCTAGTCGAAGGCGATAATTTGAAGTCGCATATTTGAGTGTTAAACGTGGCTTTTGGAGGAAATGTTAATGGTGACCTTTTTCAATTGTTTTGAGACGCAGCTACGACAGGAGGGCTGAGTTCTCTTGTACCCCTTTTCACTTTGAGCCCTGTATTACCATATTTGTTGGAGATATTATGTGTAACTAGTGTATGAGTGTGTATAGTTTTATCGTGAAATTGATATGACTATGAACTCGCAGCTGCTCGATTGACGAAAAATAATGAAAACCTGTTTGCTTCCTTCACCCAATTATTGAAGAAGTTAGGAATACTTGTAGGCAGTTACAGTACTAGGAATAACGTCTAATCGAGTAACATAATTGTCTTGAATGTACTTCTAGTTTAATCGCTTTTTAGAAATATATCAAGCTCGCGGCACTGCACAAACGAAGGATATTTTTAGAATTTTCATAGCACAAAAACTCCCAATTACCCTAGAAAATAATTTCTAGATTATCCTTAATTTTAAAAATAGGTGTTTTTAATCTAAAATCACTACGATTTAAATGTATAAATATTGTACACAAAACGCCTGTCCTATCATAATATATCGTTCACTGAATTTAAGACGTCGTACGATTATAATAGGTATATATTATTAATATAAGAATAATATAACCTAACCTAAACCTGGAACAATGTGTGGGCATAATCGTTGGCGAGTTTGCAAATCGAAAATGTTTTTCGTCCTAGACGATAATATAATGCCTAATATAATATTGTTGTACGGCGGGTGGCGATCGACCTGCATCAGAAGCAGTTCAGTGGAAGCACCGGCGGCGGTTGCAGTTGTAAAAAGTGTCTCGAGTCGTAAAGCTGTCAAGAACTATGGTAATAAAAACACCTAAGTATAGTTTAGTTAAGTATATAGTTTCGACGTTTACGCTCGGCCGCGGTCGACGTTTCGGTCATTTCGGGCATATTATAGTTGAGCTGCTCCATGTACACTCCATACCTGAAGATGTCTACATTTGGTATATATTATTATGACACGCGCGGGACAGAGAATTCAGAGGGCTGTGGGGGTAATGGAAAGGCGGCGGCGAGGGACAAGCTTTTAATCCGGAAAACCTATCGGTCGTCGGCTTCCGCGATCCTCCGGGGACCACCGCCGCGCCGATTCGATATTATATGATGTACATAATAGTATGAAGTATATATAATATAATGGCCGCGCGAATTTGTGCAAACAAAATAAATAACAATATCGCACTTTACAACAATAGTGACAACAGTGGCTTGCGACTGCAGCAGGAGCAGCATTCGTCGGGTAACGAAAACACCTATATATCGCATTTTGGGCGGCCGAATGAGCAGAAAAACCCACGATTTTAACCTCGGATAAGGGTGCGGACGCCACCGCCGGGAGGACAGCTGCAAATTAAGCGCAACATCAGTCGGTATCGGCGGCGATGTATTATGTATTACAATAATAATATTACCAATAATATTATTCGACTTTAACGTTTTTTTATTAGCGTCTTCCGTCTATTTCTGCTAGAACTGTCAGCGAGCGATCATCAAATCGCCCCGGTGACATTTTGAAATAACCCATTTAATATAATATGTGTTTTCATTTTATTTATTTTCACGCAGCTTTTTCTTCGCCGTTTAAACCTTTTTCTTATCGTGTATTCGGTGCTATAGTATTTTGTTATAATCTCAAGTGATAATTAAAAATAAAATTTGCCGTTTGGCCGAATAATTGTTTGGGACGGGTTGCACTGCGGGGTTGTTGGGAGCAAACTCGAAAGCCATACGCGAATCGCGAGGAATTTTATAATTTATTGTAATATGCGCGCTGGTACCGCACGCGTATACTGTAACCGACCCACAAAACTACTCCACAGACACACACACATCTATAAAATGTGAATTGTTTCGGCACGCGATGACATCGTAATTATAAATTATAATGACTTGCTCGGAGATTTGAATATCATACGTATTTCATATTACATAATCGAGAAAAAACCGCACAAAAACTGGTCTGGATAACGGTGACCGCGAGCGCGTGTTCGAACGGTGCAGCCTAAATCAAAACCACCGCTGCTGCAGCAGCGTAGGTATAATGATATTATTAGTATTATTTAAATTCGTACACGTCATTATTAGGCGGACAACGAATTCGGTAGCACCAGGATGTATTATCATCATCATCATCATCATCATCATCATCTCGTCGTTGTCGTCGTCGACATCGTCATCGTCGTCGTTATTATTATTTTTTTATTTTAATCTGGACCCCGCTCGTTGTACAGCTTGCCCGGTATATACCTATGCTTACAGGTATATACCGGGTCATACGACGACGGTCCGACCCGCGATGCCGCTCTGCGTGAGTGCTGAGCTGCCCGTGTATATAGTAGGTATGTATATAATAATAATAATAATAATAATAATAATAATAATAATAATATACACACAATGATAATAATAATATACGCGGCGGCATCGGCATCGAACTGCTGCAGAGAGACAGCTGACCTACCCGTCCAATAAAATCGTATACTTTACGGCCGCCCGTCCTTTTGTGCGCGGACGGACGCCCGTGCACGTATCGCCTCTGTTGCTCGCGCCGCACAATAATAGTAATAATAATGATAATATTACAAACCATATATACATAATATAATAGGTATATATATATGGTCACACCGCCCCTCTGCAGCAGCACCCACTGCGGCATATTATGTATATACAAGGCGGCACATTTACCTAAGTATATTATGTATATTGTATATATATATATACTATGCACTGCACGCGCATATGTATATATAGCGTGCGACGTAGGAGAAAAGAAAAAGACGAAGAAAAGGTCGAATAGTAGTATATTACGTCATTGCGCTGCACGTCGCGTTTGTTTTGAAATCGTATATTTATGTCCAAAATTTGTGTACAAGTCTCCGACCCCGCAGCACGTATATATAGTATTATCGTTCCCAGAACCCACAAACGGGTCAAACCGAGTTATTGTTCTTGTTATTATTATTATCATTTCGTCCCCGAGAAGGTAAAACGATGTGTTATGGAGGTGTGACGGGCACGTTATTTTTTACGACACCTACTCATAAAATATAAAAATGACCAAGTCCCGGTGAGGTTTTTTATATTGTAATCGATTTAAAAAACGAGTACGTACCTGTTGGTGGGTAAGGCGTCGACGTGACAGGATCGTGCGAACTCCCGTAGTTCCTGAGCGGCAACGACGACGGAGGCGGTGGCGCCGGCGGCTGGTACGCGTTGTCGTGGCCGAACGGGCCGGCCGCAGAACCGTCGGCCGAGCCGGACGTCATGCGGGACGAATTGTTGCCGCCCCGGTCGTCGCCCGGGCTGCCGGACTGCAGGTATGTCGGCTGCGGCGTGTCAGCCGGGCCGCCGCCGGACGGGTGTCGGGACGCCGAAGCGGCGGCTGCGGCTGCGGCGGCTGCTGCCGCGGCCACGGACGACGACGATGACGACGACGTGGTAGTGGTGTACGGCGAGTAGTTGGTGCACCAGGACTGCGAGAACTGGTGATGGTGGTCGGCGGCGGACGGTGGTCCAGCGGAACTGCTGCACGGCGTCACGCCACCGTTGGTGTACTTACTGGCCAGGCCGCCACCGCCACCGCCGCCGCCGAGGCCACCGCCACAATAGTCTGTGGCCGCGGGTGACCAGAACGGCAGGCCAGTGGGTGGTTTGCGGCCACCACCGCCACCACCGCCGTCCATGGACGTTCGGTGGTGGTGGTGATGGTGGTGGTGGTGTCCGCCGCCAGCGTCCGCGGCCAGGTTGTAGTAGGTCGGCGCGGCCGGTTGATGGTGGTGGTGGTGATGAGGTGGTGCGGCGTACTGGTCGAACGCGGCGTGGTCGACGACGGCAGGCGAGTAAGCGTTCCACTGGTGGTGCGAGTGCCTGATGACGCCCGCCGAACCGGCGGCGGTGTCCATGCACTCGTAACCGCCACCGCCGCCGCCACCACCGCCGATGGAATGAGACTGCAACCGCTTGGCCGGTATGTGCAACAGCGGCGGGGGCTGCTGTTGTTGCTGCTGTTGCTGTTGCTGCGGCGGCGGCGTGGCGGAGGACGCGATCGGCGTGGACGACGGCGACGTCTTAATGACGGCCGCCGGCGCGGCGCGAGCGATGTCCACCGACGGCGGCTGCAGCGACACGGACGACGGAGGTGGTGGTGCCGGCGGGCTGTCCTCGTACAGGCCGCCGTTCATCATCGTCCACCAACTCAGCCCGGGTCCGGCTGTCGGGGTCGGGCACCCTGCTCCGGTGGTAACATCGTGTTCACCGCCACCGTACAGCGTACCGACGGCAGCGTCCCCGAGGTCGCCGATGATGATAATTGTTGTGGTTTCGTACGGGGTTTAGGTGATAGACGACAGCAGGCGCAGGAGATTTTGGTGGAGTAGACGATGTCGGCGGCGTTCAGACGTCGGTTGGTGTTAGGTCAGAGTCGGCAACAGAACACAAGAAGACAAGTCCAGATCAGTTTAGAGTATTATATTATTGTGATGATAGTATTATAAAGTGGTTTTGCATATTATGTATACATTTATTTATATGCAATAATCAGCGTTCGCGTGGATAGTTATATATTATTTTAAATAATAATATAATATTATGTTATATATTTTATATGAATCACTGCCGCAGCTCCGCCGACGAGGCGCGCGCGCGTTTATTACGACGACGCGATCATGTACGGCCAAGGGTTCTTACGAGCGTCGGACGAAATAAAAAAATTAAGTACGAACTCATAAGACCGCGGTAAAAAAAAAAACCGTTGGGGGAAAAAATATCACGCCCGTTTCACTTTTAAAAAATTATAAATAAACAAATAAAGAATTATAACAAACGATAAAATAAAATAAAATAATAAAGTATCGTAAAGGCAAAACTTCGCGGGAGACGACGATGTTTTAATGTTATAAAAATATCGTGCATGTGAAATACGCGACGGAACTACCGAGACCGCGGACGGCGCGTGTGCGTGTGCGGCGAAGGTCCGAAGTTTCGTACGCACGGTGCACGAGAGCGGACTGACGTGAGAAGTGACGACCGCCGATGACGGGTGACGACACACCGCGCCCGACGGCTCACAAACGGGCCGACGCGAGCGCGTAGTAGTTGTCGTTGGTGTTTAGCGGCGTGCACCGCCGCCGCGCGCCCGTCCGTGTGCGCGCGTGTGTGTATGCGCGCGCGCGCGCCGCGCTCCCGTCTCTCGCTTCCGTCCGACCGGCGCGCCGCTCGGCGGACCGGCCTCGGACTACGTGTCACCACCGTGCGGCCGTCGGCGCTCGCCACAGCGCTGCTCTCAGGGCCGTCGCGCCTCGGACAGAGCCGCTGCTGCTGCCGTCGCTACCGTATATCATAATAATAATATTATACACACGAAATATTATTATTATATTTGTCATGTCCGCCGCCGTCGCCATAACGATATCCAAGGCGCCCTTTCGTCGCGGCACCATGCTATTATGACAATGGCGCGGGCCCTAGAAGTTTTTAGTCGTTTCATGAGCATCATATTATATAAGAATACCTACATATTATTATCGCAATTTAGATTGAACCTATGACTAACCTGAGACTGTGAGATTAAAAAAAATTACTTTTATATCGAGATGATCACAACATTTCACATAATTATGGGGTCCTCGAAAAAAAAACATAGTTAAAAATATACTTTTTTTAATGTATCTGTATATAGCTATTATCCCCAAGTGTATGTTTCGTTTTTATTCATAATTATTAAGAAAATTTATAGTTTAAGCTCAAGTATAATTTTGTCTCATAAATTTACTGTTAGGATGTATTTTATCTACTCTGATTTTGTTCTAATTTCAATAATTCAAAGAAAAAAAACTAAAAAACCCTTAATCACATATATTATAATGTGGCATTATTATTTATTCGAAAATAGACTTATATATATATTATATACTCCATATTCTACTGCTATATTTACTTATTTCCATATCTTAATAGACTCGTTGACGTGTTTCATACACTATATTTTTATGCTTGTATTCCTATTTACGTTTCGAAAACCGGCAGATGAAAACCAGTCTATATAATATATTAACATCTATATTTTATAACGTGAAGAGTGATTTAGAAAATAATATAAGTATATAATGTCTGAAACCTGCAGTGGATTTCGTATAGGTATTATATTATATACATATATCGGTATACTAACGTATATATATTTTTTATGATGTTCATATGTATATATATTATATCATACAGTATATACTTATATATATATATATATATATATGTATAACTGAAGTTAACAAATCCGGATTCTGGTTTCATATATTATCTGCGTTTCATGCCTACATATTATAATAGAATGACTGTTCGGGAACCGGCTCGTCAAAAATAATATATATTATTGTTCGTCACGTCCAAAAAATTCGATGACTAAATATATTATACATTATACATAGCGTACAAAAACTATTTGAAAACTGTGTGCGATGCGAGAAATATACGCCTATATACCTACTATATAGTATATATAGGTATATATTGGTATTTACAATCCTTCTGGAAGTAGGCACTACCAGTATTATATTATATACCTACCTATATATATATCATGAAAACCCATTACAGACGACGGTCCGGCGGTAAAATAAATTGTATTCCTGACCTCAACCCTTTTAGAGTTTACGAGAGATAACGGTCGTCGTTTACCATCTACGTCTATAAGCTGCACCTATATATATATATTATTATATAACATATATACATATATAGTTTATGTACAAAATGAGTGTGTATATCGATGTATACGGTATTATAAGTATATAATCCGGACGTCTGACCGCCGTCGACTTTTGAAATCCAAATTCGAATAACGGACGCCATATAAGGTACGACATAATACAGCATAACATACATGTATATATAATGGAATGTACAGTATACATGTAGGTACATGCGATATTGTGTGTTATTGTTGTAGCCGTTAAAACGCGAGGCAGTATACTGCACATTATGCGACGGATTAAAGGTGTAAGCGTGGACTTATATATTTTGTAATAATAATGCCTATATAAGGTTTATAATAATAATAATTTTAGCTGCAGGCGACGGACGGATTTGCACCGGTGTACAGCGAAGAAATGAATAGATGAGAATCGCCAAAAATTTGAAGGGAATAAATATATAAAAAGGAAATGGCGCGTGAAAAGACGAGCCGGGGAAACGCGTGCGCTCAAAATCCAAACCTTACAATATATACCTATAGGTACATAAAATATATTAATAGCGTGACAAAAAGGTCACATGCAGACAGATTAGTGGTGTATACCATATTTCCACGGCGAGGGACGTAGTTATATAGGAACCTATATGTACCTATACATTGTACCTCAGACAAATTTTTCTTTTTGTACACAATGCGACACAACAAAAGCGGTGTTGACTCTCGAATCACGACTCGCCCGACGTGCAGTAGAAATATACAATGTCATGTATCTATATATTATATATAGGTACCTATAATAACATCAGCTATTGTGAGGATGATCAACAACACGCCATTATGTTATATACAATATAATATATAATATTATACGTACCTATATGTACAAAGCATCTTTGCGATCAGCCTGCAAAGTAGGTATACATGCATTTATTATAAATATGAGATTTTTAGTCACGGCCCCTCGACGAAACGTCAAATATTATATTATATATTATTCGTGGGTAGGAATATGTAGCGAGAAAAGAGGGCGCGCGACAACAAAAAGTAGAGGGAAAACAAAAAATTATGTATAATATAGGTTATATATATTATATGTAGGCATGCAGCGGCCGAGGGAGAGTTTTCAAAGTCTGAATGTCATGGGGGGGGGGGGATGATCGGGAGACGGTATAATACTATACATGGCGTCGTTATTACATTATAACCGGTGAGATGGAAAATTGCGCATTGTGTCAGCGGCGGCGTCGTCGCCGGCTAAAGAACAACGGGAGCTATACACAGATGATATATATATATACATATATATACATACATACATATATATGTATATATGTGTGTGTGTACGCGCATATAATAGCTGACGTCCAAAATCATTATATTATTTGTATTTTGTGCGTCTCGCGATAGGGGACCGTCGGCGAATTCAATTTGTAAGTGCTGCAGCAGGCGAAAGCCGGTGTTCGAATTTTATGACGCTCGGAAAACAAACGACCGAAAATAATATAATAATCTGTAGTCTCTCGTATCTCCCTCACCATACGCATAATATAAAACTTGCTCGAAAAACAGTTTTCTGGGAAAAAAATACGAAAACATTTCTCGGTATATAATAATATGTTGTAAGTATATATATATGGGTATAATATATATGGGCGGGAGCTGCAGATGATACGATGACCGAATTTTTAATATTTATATAAAGAGCAGCAGGTTTCTATATACACGAGGAAAACATAAAGATGTTTACCTACCTATGTATACCTATACCTATAAATAAATATATATATATATAAGTATATTTTATAATGTATATAATTATATTAAGATGTCGTCATCTCGTGGTCCACCTGCACCGGTCGACGCTTATAATATATTATTCCTCAAATATATTATAACGATATTTAATTATATTGTATACTTAAAATAATCTTCTACAGACGACGATGATAATAATATATTAAATCGTATAACATTATACAATGATAATAATATAACACACTAGCTGCAGCCACCGCCGCCGCCGACTGTATAGATCTCAATCGGCTACGACCGGTCGAGGCGGCGGCGGCGGCGGCGGCGACGAACGCCGCCATCTTTGTGCGCGCATGTCGGCTCATTATACGATTTTCGACTGGTCCGCAGACGCGCCGCCGCGGGAGGTCCCGACGTCCGAAGAGCGCACGCACACAACTGCGCTCGTTATCTACTGTATATACATTGACTATATTTTTGTGTATTATTTATAGGAAATATGATTTAGCTGTACAATTTTATTTGTATATATTTAATTAACAAATATGATTTAACGAGTAACCTATGTAGACGCGTCATACATATATATACCTATCTGTATTATAAATAATGTATTATTCTCAAGCTTCGAATACCTATACTTGGGATTATGGTAAGTATAATAGGTGTAATAGGTACCTACTACAACTGTGTATGATGGTGTTTCACAGTCAATGACTTTTTTCTATTTTTAAAATATTTATTTTAGAAAACCAACACCTTGTTGTATTTAATTAGGTATTATTATTTTGAACATACAACAATAATTTTTATTAATAATCATGAGTACAATATCTTATGATGCTGCTCCTAAACTCAAAATAAAAATAATTAAATTGTTACCGTTATGTTTCTTAATAATATATCTAAGTTTACTTAGGTAGTAAATATTTTAAGAGATATTTTGTGTATAGGTAAATATTTAAAAAGTTTAGTTATTTATTTCCATTAAGTATATAGGTTGGTACCCACATTTAATATAATATATTCTATTCTATAGGTATTATACATATTGTACACCTTCATTTTGAACTTTTAAGATTACTCAGAGCAAGAGGCAGTGGTAGAGGACTGTACATATATTACTATAGTATAGACCGCATAGACGGTCGGATGTGTAGAAGGGAAACATATAAGTGAGTTACCTTGCGTACATATTATATTATTATGTATAAAGCAAAGTTATTATTCGAACTCCTAAGTAAAAATAATAAAATATTTTCTAGGAATAAAATTAACTTCGTGGAATATCTATGCGATATACCGACACATTTTTAAAGGTAGGTATATTATGTGCGGGAATTATCGCACGCGAACGCTCACCTCAAAATTGCATAATATAATTATTATTATTATTGTATACATAATTAGGTATTAGGTGTGTTCCATTATTTTTAAGGTATAGGTACATATTATAAGTTATAACATTATATTATAACTATGTATAAATAGGTAATATGTATTATAATTATTGCACCCTTAAAATATGAAACAGTATAGGTAAGTATATAGATTTTTTGAGCATGGATTCGATAATTACCTTGGACGCTGGCCAGAGTGATAGCAGGCAAGAAACAGTGCAACCTGTAAACACAATAAAATAAATTAAACATCTTTGATTATTATACAGTTTCGGACAAATTTACATATATATTATCATGTAAGTATCACAGGTACAATATTGACTCATATAAGTACATGACGTATCCACACGATCCAGTGTTGTATAATAATATATAATAATAAATTCGCGTGACGGAAGGGGTCCCCCTGCAACGCGGCTGCACGCTTCGCTGCACTGTAGCTATAGTGCACTGCAGTTTGCATGCACGCGCGGACACGTGACAACACGAACATATTAATATATACACACTATAATTTATTCAACGCGTGTTCTATTTATAAATTCAATTTAAGCACGATACATTTATGTAGGCACTATACATATATATATATATATATATATAGATATTATTAGGCACACCACCTAAAGTTATATAATATATTAGATACTTTTATTTTTGGTATACTGAGCTGTGGTATTTAGAATTTTTCTCCTTTGCAGGGAATGCTGTTGCAGATTGTAAATATTAGGTATACTATTATGTAGGTATAAGTCAGTATACATTGGTGTTCAATATTCATACAATTATATAATAATATATTTATATGTATACCTATACCTACCTACTTGTATTTCATCCACAATTTCTATGAGGTGGATAATATTATATTATAAATCCTTTAAGCTTTCCTTTATAAAACTTGTAATAATTTATTCTCACAATTTAATAACTATAAAATATTGTGTTGTATACATAAATAAGTATATTTATAAAATAATAAATTGTAAGACTCACAATAAAATATTTTTTTCGTTTGAATATATTGGCTAAAACCCGTTTTTACTGTTTAATAACTTTTTCCCGAATGAATTAAATAATAATATTTGTATTTTACATTTTTACTTTTATGCATTTTTGATTATTTTATCCACTCCTTTTGTAACTGTATGGTAGTGTTTCCACTAAATATATATTCCTGCCGGTCTCTGCTCATATAGGCACATATGTATAACATATTACTATAATATTATAGTTGTATAATATTAATATTTAGTAGAATATTATACATTTATATACTGTATAAAATATAATTAT